ACTTTGTTGTATTCAAGTGGTGGTTTACTAATGTTTGTCAAGAGGAAGGTAGGGTAGTGGTCTGTAGTGCTATCTTTGATTATCCCTGATTTAACCCTTTACCAGGCCGTGCCTCATATTTGAGCAGATGCAACAATTGCAACCTATATTGTGACAGTATATGCAATGCTAAGACATATTTATTTGTGATCATTTTTTGAGTTTATTTATTTTTGGGCCATAAAATGCCCTTTTTGGCCGTATCAAATATGAGGCACTCCCCGACAATGGTTAAACTGTAGGTGACAGATCAGGCATCAAATTTGATGCAAGCCTGACAAAGGTATTTGTCTAAAAGAATCATAACAGCTGTTATAACTGATAATTAAAGCATAAATTTACTTTAAGGTTTATTCATAAACAACTTGGGTAAACAAAAGGCACAGAAACTTGATTTCAATAAATTTAAGACATTTTTAGTAATTGACATTTTATAAAAAAATTGAAAAAATGTTACAAAAATATTTTCAGAGGAATTTAAGCATGTTGTTGCCTATGGAATTCCAGGAAACAATTCCTCATTGAATTTAGACATAAATTAACCTTGCAGAAGGAACAAGCAAAGGAAGAGTAGGTCCTCTTGTTCTTGGTGTTGCAATGTTTACATGAAAGCCTCTTTGCAGAAACTGGCCAGTGTTTTTGTGTTTCATCAAATATTGTATCATTAGACCTTTTTCTATGCCGATTGGGAATGTCATCAACTGAAGAAGACCGTGAAGTTGAACAACTTGGAGATCTCAGGCTCCTTGGGATTCCATTGGTTGACTTTCTTGCAGAATTGGAGATGGAAAACCGAAATTCCTTGAGGTTCATGTATTTCTCTTTCAAAACACCACATTCACGCCTGTACAACAACCAGCCATTGACACAACAAAGATCAATGACATATCCAAAGAGCCTCATGTACCAGCGTTTTGCTTAGAGTGGAGACTTGTAGAGATGCACCAACATATCATTCTTATCTATGCCCCCATATGGGCATTATAATTCTTTATCACTGCAGGACAGTCAACTTCCACCTTTTGTTTGAGCTCCTTGCTGTACCTCTTTATCTTTGCCACTAGGTTGATGCCAATATCATTAGTCAGTAAAGTAACAACCTTACTGTCTTTCCAACGTACAGCAAGGACACCATCCAATGAACAGTAATCCATAGCACTCCTTTTCACCTTTGTTTTTTCCATGTCATTGACAGACATAAGTGGTGGTTTTCCAATTCTGCTGTCCGTTGCAGTGCCTGTGTACCTGCAGTTGAATGTAGCATGCAGATATTTCACTAGAGGCAAACTGGTAAAGAAGTTATCTGCATAAATTGCACTGGTCTTTGTGTGGTCCATAGTCTTTGCAAGGCAAATAACAACCTTGAACTTATAGGCATTTTCTTCTCCTCTCTGTGTTGGTACTCATGTTCGTAGTCAAGTAATGGAGTATTTGTTATGTCAAGTTTGCTCCAGGTGGCATTAGTGTTGTTGACAGTTGTTTCATCTACCTCAACCTCGTCATCTTTAACTGCTTGTTTTCGTACATTTCTTCGTTTTACATTAACTTGCCCACTTCTCTTAGACAAATCTTCATGTTCATCTTCACTTGAAGAAGAAGCTTCTGCCTGTGGCTCATAATCATCTCCAGAATCCACTTCCTCATAGGGTCACTGTCATCATGTAACTCTGGCATGATGTAATCCCTTCTTCTTTGAGCCCTTGATCCAATAAAAACACATTTGTGTTCAAATGAAATGAACAGAAAACACAAAATGAGCATTCCATATGAGCAAATTTTATAAATTTACAAGGTAAAATTACTCATATATTAATGAATTTGATTCAGCATGCAATTGTTAGCTATCAGTGACAAAGACGGTCTAATTATGATATGTTAATCCATGATATATGATACCTTCATTGGCACATTTCTTATCACCATTGTCAGGCCGGGCCTCAATATTGATACAAAAACAGTAAGTGATAATCTACCATTGTCAGGCCGGGCCTCAATATTGATACCAAAAAGGTAAACAAAACTTCAAGTGCATTTATTTGTTACTTCTCAATGCCTCAGGCAATTCATTTGCATCTCAAAATGAGGTTCAAACATTCAATAATACACTGGAAACAGATTCAGAAGCTTACCGACATTCTGGAGTGGTGTAAATTGGTGAAATATCAGGAGAGTGAGGGTCGAAATGCTGCTCCTTCAACAAGTCAAGCAGTACTGAACACTCGAGGAGCTCCCAGCCAATAGCAGTGGACAATACCCGAGTGTCGCCACCTTCAAGCTCCGCCCAGAAGGTGTGTGATTGGCTGGATTGAGACGAGAAGTCTCTGGGAGCATATGATTTGTGTCTATGGCACCATGAAAACCATACTTTTGGTGCCTCAATATTGAGGCACCGCGCGGTAAAGGGTTAAGGGGGGCTAGTATATTGGTCCATATGTGGTCTATTATGGTTGTACTTGTTTCAGTGAGCCTGGTTGGTTTAGTTATTGTTGGTATGAGAAGTGTGTTGTTCATATTGTTGATGAAATCAGTTACAGGCTGATCATCTAGTAGGCCAAGGTTGATGTTGAAGTCTCCAAATAAGAGAAGGTGGTGCTTATTCATTTGTCTGTTTGTTATTAGTGCCTTCAATTTCTCACTGAAGTTTGGGATGTTTGTGTGGGGTATCCGGTAAATGGCACCGATTGTTATAGGCGTCTTAAGGTTTTTTACAGTAAAATTAGCAAAAATGTATTCTCCATATTCATCACTAAAGCAATTGGTGCTGATACAAGATAATTGATTAGAGTAATAGATTGCAATACCACCCTCAACTTGGTATAGTCTGCAGTTGTGGATTGCTGTGTATCCTGGTAGAGGGTAGATATCTATTGTGTCCTGTTTAAGCCAGGTCTCAGTAAGAATAATGCAGGAGAAGGGTGTCTTTAGTGATTCAAGGAGTGCCAGGAGGTCATCATAGTGTTTGCTTAAGGACCTGATGTTGTAGTTAAGTACTGATAGACTTTTATCATTGTTTAGGATAGTGCTGGCTTGTGATGCTGTGTAGTAAAGGCAGTTACTTTCCAATAGGTTTTGATTGTGTGTCAGATTATGTAGGTTTAGATCAGGGTCAATGTGATCAATCATCTAGGTTTAAATTATGGTTATTTATATCCTGAGTTGTGTGTTGAGTTTTAGTACTGATATCTGTAGTGGTGGGAAGTTTGGACAAGTATATAGCTATAGCATTTTGGTCATGTAGAGTATAGTCACTAATACACATAATGAAGTTGGTGTTGTCTATTTGTTGTGCTGGAATGAGCTAAAGTACAACTAGGTATAAACTAATAATATAAAAATACAAATTAAAAATAGCACAAGACTCTCACTTGTAATTGCACCAAGGTCTAATGTAATGACTCTGGTATAGTCTATGTATTGAGCTAGAATGAGCTATAGTACAACTAGGTTTAATCTAATAATATAAAAATACAAATTAAAAATAGCACCAGGCTCTCACTAGTAATTACACTATGGTCTAATATAATGACTTTGGTACTGACTATGTATTGAGCTAGAATGAGCTATAATACAACTGAGTTTAATCTAATGATATAAAAAAGGCACAAGACTCTCAGTTGTAATTGCACTAAGGTGTTATATAAGTTGTTTACAAGAATTAGAGTATAACTAGATTTAAATTGATAAGATAAAATATACAAGTTTAAGGTAGCAAAAGAATAAAAAAAGTAGGGAAAAAAAATATATATGAGGTAGTTGGTACTAGTTAGCAAAAGATAGTTAAGGGCCTTGAACAATAATATAATTGAAATATACACTAATTGCACACACAATATAGTCACTAAGATATGAAAACAATCTTAGAGTAGGACTTATAATATAAACTTATAATATAAAAATACAAATTGAAATGGTACTTGCAATTGCACTAGAGTCTGGTATAGGTTGTTGACAAGATCAAGGGTATAACTAGATTTAAATTGACAAAATAAAATTCACAATTAAAGTACCAAAAGAATAATAGTAAAAAATAACAATGGTAATGTCTTGGTTATAATATGATAGTAAGATGGTAGACAGGTACACAGGTACAAAGGATAATATAAAGGTTGGAGTTGAATATACAAACTTGAAAATTTGGCAACAAAATGTTATGGGAAGTATAAAATAATGTTTAATGTACAAAAGTAAAATTGACTGGTAGTAAATATGGTGTTTAATAAAATTTTAGTAAGTAATAATGATTACAAAAAAAGTGAAAAAGTAATGTTTATTTCATTCAATATTGCACTGGTAGTTATACTTGAGGTTATTTGGCAGTATAAGGTAATTAAGAGTACTCTAAGATAGTAAATGTGGTATTAAAACAGGTAAAGGTAATTAGACAAGTAATGGTTATTAAATGTTAAAAATGTTAAGAGTAAATTGAAATTATAGTAAAAATGGTAATTATTAATTTTAGTAAGTAATATCAGTTGATAGTATTTAAAAAAATATGAGGTAGTAATATGGACAGAGAAAGTATCAATTCAGCTAATGTTTAAGCAAACAATAGTAAATAAGAAAATTACATAAGGTGACTTATGCTTACTAGTAAAATCACAAAATGAGGTAGTTGATTATTTAATTACTAAGAGATTGTACAATGAAATTTGAACAATAATGGAGCAAAACATACACTACATTACGTAGGCTTTTAGGTTGGACATTGTTTAGTTATTCTCTGTAAGATTAGTATCCCTGAGAAATCGTGATAGATCATTCTCGTTCGTGATACGTGTACGTAGATCTAGGTTTGGACAGCTTAAGGGTTAATAAGCCATTTCTCCTATCCTTATCTCTCATTAAATGAAGATTGGCTGAAAAAATAAAATAAAATAAAATAAATAAAAATAAATATTGTAAAGATGATTATTTTTAAAGCTGGCACATACTATGTTTGGACATGTACTTAACACACTTTATTTTTTCAGGCTGGCCCTCTTCACTATGTTAGAATTCCTAAAGACAGAGCAACAGGAAAACTAAAAAATTTTGCATTTGTCTGTTATCGGCATGATGTGTCTGTGGCATATGCCATAGAGCTACTGAATGGAATCCAGCTCTTCAAACGCAATCTAAAGGTACAGAGTCGATACCTTCAAAATCTGCAACAATCAGGTGCTGCTTCAGGACCAGGAGGCATACATACTCTTGATCCATTTTGTTCAACTAATGCACACATTGCCATACCTCAGAGATGTGTGCAGCAGTCCCTCATGGGTGCTGCTTCAGGTTTTCTGGGAGCACCAGCAGGTAATATACCCATAAATGTTCTACAAATGGCTCAGAAACAGGTGCTTTTGCTTGCTGCTAATCAGCCTATCCTGCTCTCTGACAACCCAATGCTAAATGCTCCCAGGCATCAGACATTTGATAGAGATGGTTCAGTAAATTATGGCAGACATTATCCAAGTCAGAGAGAAATTCACTATGGAGGGCAAAATCGATATCATGGCAACAGTACTGGAAGGCCAAGATCTCTTGATAATGAAACTATGCAAGCTATGAAGTCTCACTTCAACAGACAAGCTGAGGATAATTCTAAAATGTTGGCTCAGATACATCAACAACAAGGTCGATTTGACTACAGCAGATTGGGCCCTCCGAGAACTGAGCACAGTAACAGGCAGAATGATGACAGATATAGCAGGCACAATGATGATCGGTATAGCAGGCACAATGATGATCGGTATAGCAGGCACAATGAAAGGCATGACAGTGCTTCTCGACACCAGAGGTACAGTGATAATTATGGTGGTTTTCACAACCACAATGACAGGTCTGGTAGGAATCGTCATGATCCATACAGTAGAAGTTCCAGACACTGATTTACCCATGCTTTTATTATATATTTTAATATTTTTGAGGACAACTTTGAAAAATTGTCAACTTGTATGGGAAAGGAAGAGGGGAGGAAGGTGGATTAGAATATACAGTAATACTCTATGGGTTACTCTTTAATTTCTTTTATTGTTTAATATGAATCATTTAAAGGCGAGAGAATTTGCCATGGCATTTTAGAGTTCGGATGTACATTTTTAATATTTAAATTTTTATTGCTATGTAAAATTCTGCCCACTGTGTGACTTTAAAAGGGCTAGTAATTATTTCTGATATGACATATGGAGTTACATGAAACTTCTATTGACTATAAGGAACAAAAAAGGCACAATACTGTGACTGGAACAAAACACAAATGATCTACACATAGGAAAGAGAAGCTTATGATGATGTTTTGTGTGACTTTGTAAGTGGTCGAAGTTGGACCGAAACGTCATCATAAGCTTCTCTCTCCCTTGTGTGCAGGTTATTTGTGTACAGTGGAACCCCTGATTTAGGCCGTAATCCGTTCCAGAAGGTCGGCCTAAATCCAAAAAGGCTGAAAACCGAAGTAATATTTCCCATAAGAATTAGTGTAAATACAATTAATCCGTTCCAGACATCCAAAAATATATAAAAAAAAAAATACATTTTTTTTAAAGATTAACTATAGTTTTACATACACAGAAAAAATGAGAACTAAATAAAATGACTAATGGATAAATGAACATTTAACATCACATTAACCTTTATTGAAGATTCTTGTTGGCATATGGAAGACAGGGAAGAGGAGAGAGGGACAACTGATTATTGTTTGGAAGGGGATTCCCCATTCATAACGACTTCAGGTATCAAGTCCCTATCCTGGGTTACTTCCTTTCTTTGTCTTGTACTGGCACTAGGACCAGCTTGAGAGTCACTGCACCCCTGTCGCACAAAAAAACTGTCCAGAGAAGTCTGTTACTGGCGTCTCTTTAAGATTTACCTGAAGTGGGACATGGTTTTGTCACTGAATTCTGTTGTGTTTCTCACTTTCTTTACCAAAGGGCTGGCACTAGGAGCTTTCTTTGGGCCCATGGTGGCTTATTTCGCAGTCGCACTCAATAAACAACCACAAAAAAACAATGGATTATAAAGAAATGTTTGGGTGAATGTGTGGAGTGTTGGTCACTCACCGAGAGACACGGCCAATCTGACTCACACATGCGACGTGGCGGGTGGACGTGTCTAATATGGCTGATTTTCAAGTTGCCAGCCGAAATCCAGGATAGAATTTCGGCCAAAAAAGCGGCTGAAATCCGATTTGGCTGATATCCGCACCGGCTGATATCCGGGGGTCCACTGTAATTTTATTGACTATGTTGCACTCGCTGTGTCGGCAGAACATTGTTGAATGAAGTTCAGTATTACTGCATGTGTGTCACCTTACCATGGAAGGCAAGTCAGAAGTTATTATATAACATCAATATATGTGGGTAAATGAAAGCCAGATTGGTATGGTGTATTATTTAGCTTTTATGGTACAGTACTGTATTGTAAGGAGAGCCTTGCAGTAATTATGGTAGTTCTGCAGTTTTTTAATTTACATTCAGTAGCTACTTTTTTAACCGTTAACTTGTTTAACACTGCAGAAGTAACTAATAGTAACATCTCTTATTCAGAATACTCTTAGTTGGAGATTATGGAAGATTTGGAATTTAAATTTGAAATTCGGAATGGTCTCTGAAATTCAGATTTTTCTGAAGAACAATTTTGAATTTCAAATTTGTGTCCAGTCTGGCAGTTAATATGCATTGGTTATACACATCCTAAACTCTTCATCTAAGTTTGCAGATGACTTTTATGTTGTGTCATATTGATATACAAATTTTGATATATTATAGAATTTATTATTGCTAATCCATATCTGTGCTGTATCTCAAGCATGACAGACTTTCATTTATGACATTTGTATTATAGGACATTAATAAACACAGTCTTAGAATACCAGATCTCTAGCAGCTATATAATATAAACAACATGGAAATGTTGCACAATTTCAGACATCTTTCATTGATCATTACAATATTGGTTTACAATACCAACAAGATGATGAATTAGACACATGAAACCTCAGGGTATCTTTGTTTGAAGATGTTTTGCCAGCCAGTGGTTTTACCAGTTCAGAACACAGGTATTTGAAGGTATTTCACCACCTTCAGATATTTCTGTATTGAGTTGATAAAGTCACAGGTTGGTGAAATGTTTTCAAGTAAAGATGCCCAGGTGTTGTATGTGTGTCTAATTTCTCAACTTTTCATTGAATTTTATATAGAAATAATATATGCAGACCTGTAGGCTGAACAAATGCTTGGGGCAAACAAGATTGGGAAGGGAAGGAAAGCTACATTCTAAATACAGTAGACTTATTGCTCAAGTAACAGTAACTTAGGGCCTAAGTCTATAGACCTAATTTGTAAGCCAAGTTCCACTGTCGAGTGGTGCTGTAGGATGGCTTAATTTATTATGAAAATATATTTAATTTTTTTACAGATACACTTTTGGCTTCAAAATTCTAGAGAATGCAATTGACTTTCTTCTTGTGTATTTGAACAACCTGATATTACACTATTTCAGACTTTGAGCCAGTTTAGAATACAGTGGATGCTTGATTATCTGACCTAAGGTAGTTAGGGCTATATTAGGATATTAAGAAATTCATATATAGAACTGTAATAAAAAAGGGTTGGACCAAAATATTCTATACCCTTTCTTCAGACACCCTTAGTGTGTTAACTTCCCTGTCTTCAACTGCTGGTCTTTCTCATAACACTCAAGCCCCTAGTATACCGTGGTGGAAGCAGAGGTCCATCGGCACCCAACATTTGGGGGGGGGGGACCACCCCAGCCAGTGTGGGTCAGAAGATAGACCTTAGAATGGCTCTACCTGCCTGTGATATACTGTGTGGAACCATCTCATTGTCCTTTTTTTGTGAACATCTAGTGGTGTAAATTATATCTATCTCTCTTCAGTTCCAGTCCTTCTCAGAGCCTTTATTTTCCCCAGTATGGTGGTTGAGGTGTAAATTCCGTGTTTTCCTATCCTCCGACACCTAATGAAAGAGGACACCAAACCTGTGTTTCTACCCTTGCCATTGTTGAAAGATTAAATCTCAGAAGAGTTCTTTCTGCTTATTTTGCACTGCTGCCAGTACTTGGTCAGCTGCACCTACCTACTGTCTGTCATCACTAACTATTTATTTTTTTTTTTTTTTATTATCACACCGGCCGATTCCCACCAAGGCAGGGTGGCCCGAAAAAGAAAAACTTTCACCATCATTCACTCCATCACTGTCTTGCCAGAAGGGTGCTTTACACTACAGTTTTTAAACTGCAACATTAACACCCCTCCTTCAGAGTGCAGGCACTGTACTTCCCATCTCCAGGACTCAAGTCCGGCCTGCCGGTTTCCCTGAATCCCTTCATAAATGTTACTTTGCTCACACTCCAACAGCACGTCAAGTATTAAAAACCATTTGTCTCCATTCACTCCTATCAAACACGCTCACGCATGCCTGCTGGAAGTCCAAGCCCCTCGCACACAAAACCTCCTTTACCCCCTCCCTCCAACCCTTCCTAGGCCGACCCCTACCCCGCCTTCCTTCCACTACAGACTGATACACTCTTGAAGTCATTCTGTTTCGCTCCATTCTCTCTACATGTCCGAACCACCTCAACAACCCTTCCTCAGCCCTCTGGACAACAGTTTTGGTAATCCCGCACCTCCTCCTAACTTCCAAACTACGAATTCTCTGCATTATATTCACACCACACATTGCCCTCAGACATGACATCTCCACTGCCTCCAGCCTTCTCCTCGCTGCAACATTCATCACCCACGCTTCACACCCATATAAGAGCGTTGGTAAAACTATACTCTCATACATTCCCCTCTTTGCCTCCAAGGACAAAGTTCTTTGTCTCCACAGACTCCTAAGTGCACCACTCACTCTTTTTCCCTCATCAATTCTATGATTCACCTCATCTTTCATAGACCCATCTGCTGACACGTCCACTCCCAAATATCTGAATACGTTCACCTCCTCCATACTCTCTCCCTCCAATCTGATATTCAATCTTTCATCACCTAATCTTTTTGTTATCCTCATAACCTTACTCTTTCCTGTATTCACCTTTAATTTTCTTCTTTTGCACACCCTACCAAATTCATCCACCAATCTCTGCAACTTCTCTTCAGAATCTCCCAAGAGCACAGTGTCATCAGCAAAAAGCAGCTGTGACAACTCCCACTTTGTGTGTGATTCTTTATCTTTTAACTCCACGCCTCTTGCCAAGACCCTCGCATTTACTTCTCTTACAACCCCATCTATAAATATATTAAACAACCACGGTGACATCACACATCCTTGTCTAAGGCCTACTTTTACTGGGAAAAAATTTCCCTCTTTCCTACATACTCTAACTTGAGCCTCACTATCCTCGTAAAAACTCTTCACTGCTTTCAGTAACCTACCTCCTACACCATACACTTGCAACATCTGCCACATTGCCCCCCTATCCACCCTGTCATACGCCTTTTCCAAATCCATAAATGCCACAAAGACCTCTTTAGCCTTATCTAAATACTGTTCACTTATATGTTTCACTGTAAACACCTGGTCCACACACCCCCTACCTTTCCTAAAGCCTCCTTGTTCATCTGCTATCCTATTCTCCGTCTTACTCTTAATTCTTTCAATTATAACTCTACCATACACTTTACCAGGTACACTCAACAGACTTATCCCCCTATAATTTTTGCACTCTCTTTTATCCCCTTTGCCTTTATACAAAGGAACTATGCATGCTCTCTGCCAATCCCTAGGTACCTTACCTTCTTCCATACATTTATTAAATAATTGCACCAACCACTCCAAA